TAGCGTGAATAGGCCAGATAGACTGGGAAGGCTTTCTATGTGCTGGTTTTGTTCCTGCACATACGTGGGTTTTAAAAACAGCAACATCAGCTTAAGGAGAGTCATTGCTTATTGATGTGGATTCTTCCGAGACCCTCGGTACATTTCTGAGACAGCCTTTTCTTTTTCTGGATCATCAGTAGGAATTGACAACGAAAACCAAAACAGGCTGAAATTCAGCCTGCGTCTGTAAGCTTCAGCAAGGCTCCAGGTCCTTCCCTTGAGCTCCTCTCCTCTGATATCAGGTCGCTACCTTCATTATACTCTAATCCATTCATGTCTTCGTGATCGAAAGGAGCATTTCTTATTTACCCTTTACAGAGACTCTGTTCCTTGGTCCAACACTTGTCAGAAACTCTAGCCTTTTATATAGATGCCTTACTTTCTACAGCTTTCTCATTTCTCTTCATTTACTGTCCCTTAGTCTGTGTGCCACATGTTCTCCCCCTGAGAAAGGCAAAATTACTAAGGCAAGAAGTCTTAGGGCAGTTCAAGATGATGGGTGAGTTCAGCTCCATATTCAGGCACCTAAAGGTGTCTCCAACAGAAGTGCCTCCATGTGAGACCTTGGGTAAATCTTTCAAATATTAGTGCTTCATCTGTCAGATGGGAACATTACAGAGCTTTGCCTCACCGTGCTGAATGTAGCTTAGGAGATGTCTCACCGTAAGGACTTCAGGGTGCATTACTAAAGTGATGTGGGGGACTAAGTCTTGTGATGTGTTATTCAAGACACATGGGCTTGACTCCTCACTAGTGCTGACTATGGCCTGTGAGTCACTTACTGCTTCCTAGCAGGTGACAGGAGTTCAGGGGTTGTTGTAAACCCTGGTGCAGAGAGTTTGAAGATAACACCAGTCTATGCCAATCTGACTTAGTATGGGAAAGTGGGAAATAGATCTGGCAGATGCAGCCACAGGGCTTCTAGCCCCATCGTACCTGATGTCCTCCTGGCTTGAGAACGCCCACAGAGATATGGCAGTGCATGTCAGGTATTTTCCACTCCCAAGACTAAGCACAGAGTGGGAGGAGTGGGAGTGGGATTATGAAGTGACTTCAGTTTTAAAACAGCCCCAACGCTTTGATAAACAAACCTTGGAAGGGAGTCAAAACCCACTTATGGTGGATGAAGGTGCGTCAGTCACCACATGCAAAAGTCAAGATCCAAGTTAAAAAATAATTCCCATGTGATCCAACTTATAGAACTTTTGTTCTAGTTGTAATTGGAGGGATCTCTATAGTTGCTTAGAAGTAAGGCCTGGAGAAGTAGAAAAGACAATTTATCCCACAGTGTGTGAGAATTGTACATTGTATGAAGACGTCACAGACTAAAGTAACAAGGAAGGGTGGGAATGAGAAACTCATGGTCAATATGACAAAAGCCAAGGCATGCTTTGGCATTTCATAGAATAATAGAATCCTAGAATCACAGAATAGTTAGAGTTGGAAGGGACCTTAAGATCATCTAGTTCCAAACCCCCTGCCACGCGCAGGGACACCTCACACTAAACCATGTCACCCAAGGCTCTGTCCAACCTGACCTTGAACACTGCCAGGGATGGAGCATTCACAACTTCCTTGGGCAACCCATTGCAGTGCCTCCCTACCCTTACAGTAAAGAACTTCTTTGTATCTAAGCTAAACTTCCCCTGTTTAACCCACTGACTTTTGTCCTATCACTACAGTCCCTAATGAGGAGTCCCTCCCCAGCATCCCTATAGGCCCCCTTCAGATACTGGAAGGCTGCTATGAGGTCTCCACACAGCCTTCTCTTCTCCAGGCTGAACAGCCTCAACCTTCTCAGCCTATCTTCATACAGGAGGTGCTCCAGTCCCCTGATCATCTGCACTTGCTCCAACAGCTCCCTGTCCTTTTTATGTTGAGGACACCAGAACTGCACATAATACTGTGTGAAGTCTGTATGAAATAGCCATAGAATGATTTCTGTGTCAACACAGTAAAAAATACTGGAGGAGTCTTTATATCACTCTATGGTTCCTGTTGACATCCACCCACTGAGAGCATGCCCTTACCCCCAGGTCCAGATCCTGCTCATCACTAGGATGTCATGAAATTTTCATTCACCACAGGGTCATAAATTTTTAAACAATGACAGGAATATGTCAAAATGTCTAGTGGTCCTTCATTCCCCGCCTCAGATCTTAGTGCAGATGAGGCAAAGAATTGTTTGTGAGAGTAGGACTCATCCCACCTGACTGCTGGTGTTCACAAGTCCCCACACTCCCCTGACAAGGGATGGAGTCAGACACTTCAGGAGCATGAGTCAAACCCTCCCTGTCCCACACATGGATCTTAGGACAGGCTGAATCACTTTCTGGGGGTGTTTGCCTCTCTCTGTTGACTCGAGGGGATGTTCAGATGACTATCAGCAGGCAAGGTGCCCTGCAATGTGAGTGATTCAACAAACATACTCTCAGACAGCACTGTGCAATTCACAACAAAGACTATGATTAGTGTAGGTTTCTGCACTGAAAACATTACAGTGGGAAAAGCCTTTAGGTTTTTGTTTCTGGTGTATTTTATTCCTCTTTCTTTTCTGAAGTAAATGAACCCAACAGAAACATTTCTAAGCCAGTGTGACACATCTGTCTCCTGTGGGTTGGCATTGCTTGAGTTTCAGTATAATAGGTGCATCTAATGCCATACAAGTTTCTAGTATAACAGCACTAAAATAAGAAAATACCTGACTTTCTTTTTTTTTTTTCTTTGCTGCTGATCATGGGAAGTTTTTTGTAACTGAATAGCCAGAAGATACTGCAACAAACAGTACTTATGCACATAGAATCACTTACTTTAAGAGTAGTGTGGCATTGCTCAGCCTTCCAAAACTGTTAACTGTGTCTACCAAAAGTGTAATTCATCTGGTAGGTTAAAAACAGACTTACTCTACATATGTTTGGGGGTGAGACTATTCACTTTCAGAAATTTTCATCCATTAGGGTCCCCAAGTCCTATATAAAAGTGTTTCTGACTGAGGACTTCAGACTTCAGGAAAACTGTGGTTTAGATAGTGGCCTAAAGCTAGCCTCTTTGATAAGGCCACTGATCTTACTGGTTTGTGGTTTGTTGTTTTTAAAAGTTCAGTCTGAAATGCTAAAGCACATGTGAGCCCAAAGACAAGGTATTCAGAGAGAAATGCCAGAGCTCATGGAAGGGTGTAGTTTTGGTGGACCTCCAGGCTGGGAGAATTTCAGTGAGGGGAGAGATGGAGGTTTGCCATCCTTCCTGGCCACCTTCTCCATCACCTGTCCTCCAGACATAGCTAGGCTGGAAGTGGAAAAGTAACCACACCACACTGTGAGGTGGGCTTCTTGGAAAGAAGATGAAGTTTCTAGAGTGAGGTCTGAAGAGCCAGTGGATCTTCTTTCCATCCCCAGGAGAGCCAGGTTCTTGTGGGTAGGAGAAAAGTGAGAAGACAACAGAAGAAAAAGAAATCTAGGATTTCAAACATTTCAGCTTTTCGATCCAGAGCCGCTGCAGCAAGCTGCTTGTTAGGTTTTCTTAAAATAATGAAGGCAAAAAAGAGATGGACCTATGTTCCAGTGCATTACACATCAGAGATGGAGGGGCATTTGTTACTGTTTGCTTTGGTTGAAACCATTAGCAGTTTTCCTTTAGTTTTTATAGGTGATGCTCCCAGACAAATCTTTGGCCAAGGCCCAGCCAAACTATAGCCACCAAACTTCTGCGCTTCCCAGCCATGGATCTTAGTCCGTCATCTGTTCCCTCACCTGTGGAGCAGCTGTCCAGTGAGCAGCAGTGGGAGAAAAGGCGTAAGATGCCAGTGGCCCTTTCTTTTCCCAAGGATCTTTCAATTATTTTTCATTATGATGCTTTGCTTGACGAGTTGTTTAATTTACCCTTGTGATAATCAATTGTATTTTATTTCTAAAAGCTCTGAAGTGTGATGGGGCACTGTTTTATCCTTTGGAGCAAATATAGTTTAAGTGTTGACTGTGATGGAGAATAAGATGAGGCAGGCCCCTTTGGAATATGATGGTGTATCTGACCTATGCCAGGGTGTAGGGGATGAGTTGGAAACTGAGGGTGAGCCTTTTGCAGGCAATGCACTAACTGATGGGAACAGTCCCACAGGGGCTGAGTGCATGGTGGTAATGGCTCCCTCAATGGTCTCAGACAAGGCAAGGGGTTGGACCAGATCCAAGGACTCTTCAAGGGGTCCCACCGAGAGCAGAATGAGACAAGGCTGGAGACATGACTACAACTCAGATCTGTGGTCCACCCAGGAGACAAGGCTGGAAATAAGCTACCTCCAATATAGGTCTTAAGTCCATCATTGAAACAGAGCAGGGAGTTTCTGTAGGGATCAGAGTATTTGGATTGAGACCATTTGGAGGATATTGATGAGTCTCGATGTTCCTTGTGCTTATCTATACATCTGTATGGGACTGCAGGGTGACAAAAACCTGACTATTTTTCCCAGAGGATTCCTGGTTAAGGCAGAATCAAGTGCAAGTCAAAGTGAGTGTTGCTTATATGAAAGTTTTTTAGAAAAAATAAAAGGATGCATGCAGTTACAGGGAATACAGATGTCCTGCACTTGCCATGGTGCACTGCAAGGTAGACCCCTTTCTACTGAAGATGGGATTTGGATATCAAATTCTCAAGTGTGGATCTAATAAGGATGAGGGCAGAGGTTGTACGCTGTAAGAAGAGAAGAGCTGGGGTGGTAGCAGAGCCAACAGCTCATGAACATGAGCCACATAATGTGCTTTGTCAGAGAACTCGTGCATACAGCATCCTTTCCAATTCCTACACTGATATTTCTGTATTTCTCTCCTCCAGACTATAAGGACAACCTGACGTGAGTTGAACCTCTGGGCTACTGAGCCTGCCCCAGATGCAAAAATTTAGTGAGCAGATGATGTTTTCAACCAAACCTCCTGTCTAACTCAGTGGATCTGTGTGTCTTCCGGCAGGTGTGTCCTCTGTGGCCTCCCTGATGTCCCTGGCTTGGGTGCTAGCCTCCTATCACAAGCTTCTTCGGGACTCTAGGGACGACAAGAAGAGTATGAGCTACAGAGGGGCCCTCATCCATGTCTTCTGGCGCCTCTTCACCATCTCATCTCGAGTTATTTCTTTTGCTCTTTTTGCTTCCATTTTCCAGCTCTACTTTGGGATCTTTGTAGTGGTCCATTGGTGTGCCATGGCTTTCTGGATCATCCATGGTGGGACAGATTTCTGCATGTCTAAGTGGGAGGAGATCCTCTTCAACATGGTGGTAGGGATTGTGTACATTTTCTGCTGGTTTAATGTCAAGGAAGGGCGGACTCGATACAGAATGTTTGCGTATTACACGGTAGTCCTGACGGAGAACGCTGCCTTGACGCTCCTTTGGTATTTTTACAGAGATCCTGACACTACTGACTCATATGCCGTGCCAGCACTGTGTTGTGTCTTTCTTAGCTTTGCTGCTGGGATAGCTTTGATGCTGTTATATTATGGTGTGCTGCATCCCATGGGGCCAAGAGCTAAGGTCTTTGCCAGCTCCTGTTGCGCCGAGCTGCTCTGGGGCATTCCTTTGCCCCCCGATGTTGAGCCCATGGCACCCCAAACCCCTGGGTACCGGGGGGCCCAGGCTACGCCCACCAGAGCGGTCACGGAGCAACAGGAGGAACTCACGGCTGACACTTGCTTGCCTGTTTTCCAGGTGAGAGCAATGGTACCATCTACTCCATCTGGGCGACCCTACCCCCCCGAGGGGCCTCTCATTAAGATTGACATCCCAAGAAAAAGGTACCCTGCATGGGATGCTCATTTTGTAGACAGGAGGTTAAGAAGAACTATCAACATCCTCCAATATGTCACCCCCACAGCTGTAGGTATTAGGTATAGAGATGGACCTCTCTTATATGAGTTGCTACAATATGAATCTTCACTTTAAAGCTCCTTAAAGCAAAAGAGGGGACCTTATTTTTGTTTACGGTAAACACAGATCATGAAACAAACACAAACCTTCAGATAAGCTTTCTTTCTGGTTGCTGTATGTATAAAAAAAAAAAAGATATTCTCTATGTTTTGTAAGTAAAAACAAAAAGAAAAACTTTTCTTTTGTTTTTTACACACAAGAAACAGTATTTCAACTTCCACACCTAGGATTCACAGGTGGAGAAGGAGGCATCTCCACATCAGTTTTATACCGTACACCAAGTGTAGAACATTATCTATGGGATTGGTGCTGATTGAAAAATAAAAAAAACAAACAAACAAACCTACAACTGCCTTATGCCCTTAGGTGCTGAGTTTCATTAAGTACTGTCACCTTTCTCATGCAAAACTCTTTGATGATTATATGCCAGGAAAAAAAACAAAAAAGAAACAAAAAAACCAACCAACCAACTGAAATGCAAATCTTAAAATTAAAAAAAAAAAAAAGAGAAAAGAAAAAATAAACAACAAAAAGAGAGAAATGTACAATTAAAAAAAAACAAAATCTTGTTGCTCTGATTGGATTTAGCAGAACAAAAACCCAAATGTCTGAAGACAAGAAAGCAAAGCCAAGACATCCCCAATGGAGTTTGATATTTCCAACTGAAAGACAAAATCAGGTCTGTAACTCAATTCGGCAATGCATTTATAACACCATTTGGCCAAGCATGTGAGCCTTGACCAAGTCATGTTATAAACATGATCCCGCCATGTAACCATTTTCCTCGTGTAAATGGGCCATGTGTAATGGTCGGTTTGCACCCCATTAATGTGGTAATACAGTATCTGATCTTGTTTCAAACAATTGCACACGCTAAAGTGCCACTGCCTTCAGTGGAGTAAATAAGAACCATCTGAGCCCAGAATAAGGCCTGCCACCTTGATTTCTGGAAAATAAGAAATCTCCAAACATTGAAATGATATACCAAAAACATTATACTAAAGTACATTTACACATGTCTAATAACTATTTCAGTAATAATAAAACTCAGCATAGTAGCAAAAAGCGAGTCAATTTAAAGGCACAATACTTGATCAGTGACTGGCAAAATAATTTGACCTACTGTATCATTTTAAGGCTGTGAAAGGCATACATGTATTATTTGTAATCTTGTGTAAGACCTGTCATGTCTCATTCAGTGCGAGCCTTAAAGTGATTGTAAAGCATCCTTCGTTCCATTTTGGGGATTTGGGGTTTTGATTTTTGTTTCGTTTTGTTTTTAAGGAAAACAAAACATGAAAATCGGGATAAAAATCAAAAAAACAAAAAAGCAAACAACAACAAAACAACCAACAAACTTCTTCAAACGATAATAACCTGTAAACTGACTCACATCTAGAGATGATTTGGTGCTTTGTATTTTTGTTGATGTTGTTGTTGTGATTTAGCTGAGAATTCTTCAACCCGGTACCTGTGGGGAACTGCTGATAAAAACTGTCTTGTGTCACCCTCTACTGTAAGTACATGGCGAGAAACACCACCAGAGGAAATTCAGGAGCGTAGCGAGAGCATCATGGTTTAGCTTAGCCTTCTCACCGCAAGGAGATGCTGTCACCTCCGTTGATGGCAAAGCCTAGATGGTCACCTGCTGAGAGTTGTGTGGTTGTTTTGACATTTCCAAATAACCCACTCAGTGTCTGAACATTCACATCTCTTGAATGCTGTTTCTGTGCTGGAATCTCTTTTTTCAAGTTAAATCATGGGTTTGCATCTATCTAACGCCTTTTTCTGTTTTGAGAGTATTGCTCCTTTAAAGGAATATTCCTGTTTCAGGGCATCTTTTCAATCCAACCATCCCTCTACTTGGGAAGGGAAAAACAACAACAAAATGAGATATTTTTAAGTGAATGCTGTAGTATTTTCTGTGTGTAATTGCAATTTTTTATTCCAGAAATACTGTAACTGTCTAGGGTGCAAAACTCCCATGCTGACCTATCCTGAAGAGGAGATCAGCATGGGGGGATATTTTTTAATTATGATTATGATTTTTCTGTTTAATTTGAGGAATCAGTTGTTTTTTTAATTATAAAAGTATTTAAAGAAACTAGTACCAATTTTATATAACAGTTTAAAGAAGCTGAATGCTTTCTTCGCCTGAATATACCTGAAAAGAAACATTTTTTTCAATCAGTGATCCTTTGCAGTGTTCTGAGAAAATGTTGGGGTTTCCTCAGTTGTTTCATTTTGTTTTATAAAGAAAACTTTTAACTGGTGTCTGTCCCTTTTAGGGAGGGCAGGACTCATTCACGCCAAACTATAGACAAATGGCAAAGTTTATAAGAAGCCAAATTGTCACTGGTACTGTAATTCCCAGTCAACTCCATTTCAGGCAAATGTTTCTGGGCTCTGATTACAACCAGTACGATGATCACATTTTCATGCAAAGGGAGGGATTTTGTCATGTCTTCCCCTATCTAAATTCACAGTCCCTTGTTTACTGTGCACATAAATACAAATATATATATATGCACACTTATATGTATTTGTGAAAAGCTTTCATTTCACTTCTCCATTGTCTGTGTCCCATAACCAGTCCCTTCTCAAGTGTCCTATTAACATTTCTCCCTGTTTCTTCCCTAATCAGTATACTGTCTCCATAAAAAGGGGTAATTTGTGAAGTGAACTTGCTATCCCCAGATAGAGACATAAAATAACAGAGGTGCCCATCCTCCAGCAACAGGCCTGCATTTCTCTTCCCAGGACTTTCTTCTGACTTAAATTTAATACTAGTGTAGACTTAGTTTCCCTGGGAATCATTCCCTGTGTAAAGACTCTCCTTGGTCCTTCCATGAAGAGCTCTCCTCTACACATAGAATCATAGAATCGTTACATCTGCATTTCATGGGCATAAGCATGAGAAAGGAATGAATGACAGACAACCCTGCTGTTCCTTGAGGATCTTTCCTCCAGGAAAATAGCATCCTCATTTTCAAAAGCATTATGAGAAGGTCCCTTCCCCAGACTGGTCAACCTTGAGGTCTCGTTTGGAGATGTGAACCCACTCCCTGGCCCAACTGAACAGCTGGACCCTGACACTTTGCACCAGGACAATGAAATGAGTCAACAAGCCAAGGCACACTTATCAGGAGTCAAGGAAGAGACCCTTCAGTGTTGCCTCTCATGAACATCTGCAGCCTGCCTTCCCTCATGAACAGGACCATTGCTCCAGAACGCCACAGCAACAGCCGTCCTCTCCATCCTGTTATGGGAGTAGAGGGACAAAACACTCTAGAAGTGACCTTACTTCTCAATACAGTGCTAATTTCTCACAGCCAAACCAGCTTGACAAAGGGCTTGACACACGCCTCCAAAGTCCTTTCTCTTTGTGGCTCATAGTATGGATAACAATGAAGGCAGGTGCCTCCACTGCATACTAAGACTGTTTCATTATGCTTAGTTGCATAAACTTTCTGCCTCAGCTATTAGTCGTTTCTTTGAATGATATCCACTGGCATCCTGATTTAAGCAAAAGATTTCCAGTGAGAGCCTGTGTCAACCCTGAAGAACTATTTCTCTTTGAAGGACTTCATTACAGCCTTAACGTAAAGCACATGCTCTACCACTACACACAACAAGTTCAAGGTGGACAGTTTGGTGTGGTGACCATTTCCTCTTGGGATTATCTGTGATCTTGTTGCCAAACAGCGCCTTTTGCCAAGCCAAAAGCTCGGGGAGGAAAGTTACTCCTAGCTCTTTATTGGTACTAACCCTAGTGCTAAAAGTCTAGTCTTCTCCTGTTTACTTTTTTTCCTAGGGTCTCTTTGATTTTTGGTGTGCACTTTGGCAGGATGGTTAGTGACTTGTTTTGGTTTCACTTGGTTCTTAACTCCTCAGCTTCTCCCTGGTAGCTTACTTACACCATGTCCCACCTTCTTGCCAGAAGATACTGCGTGATGGGTTTTTCAAACTGTCGTGGAGAAGGTTGAGTCCATATTTATTCACATCACGAGAGCAGTGAGCAACTTCTCTGGCATGTTTGTGCTGCTGGATTCGTCCTGGGATCATCTAAGCCAGCCAACTGTGCCATGCCAGGGCAAAGCCTGGGCAAGAGGACTCCACCATCCCCACTGTTAAATTTTTCAAACCTTCCCTGGCATGGTTTTGGCCCACTCCAATGGGCCCTGGGCTTGGATACAGCTTTCACAGACACTGACGCTGGCCAGAGACCATCCGCAATTGGCAGTTTGGATGAAGACGCTCTGTGTTGATGGAGAAAGAGTTTAGCAGCATGGATGTGGCCAGCACTTGTCAGTTGGCTCATGGCCCAGTGCTTAATTTACTAATAAAGATGCAACTATATGCCACAGACCGGGATTCAGGACTTGGTGGAATAAATCAGCTTCAACTTGGCATTCTTCTGTTTTTCTGCCTGGTTCAATGGACAAGGTGTTTTTTTGGTTCACTTTGTTCTTTTTGCTGACGTTATTTTGCAAACAACGTCACTTTTATGGTGCTGATGTCAACCCATCCATCCTTGCATCCATGTCAGATGGCTGGCATGCTTAGTGTGATAATGTTATACATCTGTAGGCAGCTAATTTGGAGACAGGAATGATTCAGACCAGACCAAGTCAACAATGGAAATACGGGAATTACAAGGTCCCTGCCCATGCCCTTGTCATGCTTTGCCACCCACACAAGGCATTTTTCATCTGCAGCAAATCCAACCTGAACTGCAGAAGAGGAGCCAAAGTATAATTGCCAGTGGAAAGTGCAAGCAAGCCACTGATTTTGAGCGCAAATATATATATATATTCAGTGTTTTGGATTGGAGCTAATTGTCGGCTTCATCCTGTCCTTCCCTGCACCTGCCAAAAGTCAGTAGTCATTTGCATGTATTTTTATTTAAAGCTGAATAGATGAAAGAGGATAAAATTAATTTCCAGCTTTAGCCAGTGGTCTGCTAAAACCTGGCTGATGCTACTCACAAGGGTATTGACTATCAGAGAGCAATTATCCTGCGCTCTTCTGATATATTTCTGTACACACAAGATTCACTTCACAATTTATCTCTACTCCTTGTCCCTACAAAGAAATGTGTGACACACTTGTCACCCACATACCTACAGCATGACTAAACCTCCTGAAGAAAATGTGGTCTGAGGTTCGTCCAGCATGATTTCATTGAAGCTCAGAGGTGCTTTGAAAAGGAAAACTTACTACTGTGCATTTGCAAAACCTTTTAGTGCCTGCTTGCTGGGCAGCTTGGGCAGGAGACAATTTGGAAGCTGCCAGAGTCAGCGGAAAATCATGGAGACAGGCTTTTCTAGGATATCTTCTCCTTTTACCGGGTTAGCTTTTCTCTGGATTCTGTTCAGATTGAAAGTGGTTGTGCAAAAAAAATCGTAAAACAAAAAACCGAATAACCACAACAAAATAAGGTCTATGCCAGTCCCAGAGAACCTGAGGTAGCTGATGGTAGGGATGATGTGAACTCCATTGTGTACCCTTTTCTTGCTGAAGCTTGCATGCTGTTATTTTGGCAGTTGTCAAAAGCCCTGGGGCTTACGGATGGTAGTTTCCCAGGGTTATGATTTCTGGTTTTATCTTTCCTTGGAGCTCAGGTGTATTCTGGTGCAGAGAATCTCAGCCTTGTTTGAATGAGAAGATTTGAGGCTATCCCAAATAGACGTGGGCAAACCTTTCACTGTGTGCAGAATGAGTTTCCAGACCTTTGGGTACTGCTAGAGATTGTTGCAATCCACTTATTTCTCCATAAGCACATTCAGAATTGCTTCATTATTCTGTTGTGTTTAAACTTGGGAATAATGGTTTGATGGCTCTTTTTTTTGTTGAGGTGTAATGTGAAGAAAGGTAGGAACCTTCCTGCTGTGCTAGGTGTTGCCTGTGTTCAACCCTTGTTCGTTACTTGAAGCTCAGACATTAAGATAATGGGAAAACATGAGAAAATGTGATGACTGATAGCTACATATGTTCCATTGGCTCTTCACTGATGAGGAGGGAAGCAATTAGTGACAAAATAAATCTCCGTAAACCATCTGGACCTTAAGGTATATTCAGACATGCACACAACCCAATTGGAAAGCGATCTTGATAAAATAATATGGAATATCATTTCCTGTTGTATATTAAAAAACTTAAAAAAACCCAAACAAAACACAAACCACAATAAAACAAAGCATGGCAAACAGACAAAAATTATTTGAGAGCCTAAACTTTCCTTCCCCCCTCCTTTGGGACACATGCAGCAAGGCCACTGTTCAGAAACCAGGCACTTTGAAATACGGGGAGTTATTTGGATTTGTGCAATGCTGTGTTTGTCAGATGGTCTTTTACAGCAAGCGTAGAAAGTGGCCACGGTCTAAAACTCATTGCAGATTTC